ACAGGAAAGGTTTGGCTTCCTGTCAGGGATCCCAGTGTTATGAGTACAGTGTGAGAGGCAGCCACAGGAGACAGCCACAGTCAGCGAGAGGGCTAGAAAGAGAACCATAGATGAGTTTGAAATAACAAGTCCTGACTTGAGAGCCAGAGGCCAGGTTCAGCCTGAGTTGCTCTGGATTTGAAAGTTGATGCGCTGGCACCTTCACCTTAATCCTACTGCCATCTAGTGCCTGAATCATGCTCCAACTTTGGATCTAACTGCTGGGTTTACCTATCACTGTGTACAGGAACTGTCTTATCTTGAATACTGCCCCAGAATTTAAATTCTAGAAGAAAATCATACATTCAAATTCAGAGAAATTTCTTTCTTCCTTTTATATCTGAGTATGTAAGTTGGTAGGTTGGTCTGTTTCTTTTTCTTCTTATCTCCTCTCTTCAGTATTTCATTGTGCTTTGGGAATTTTCCCTTGTGCTTTTACATTGTTTATTATCTCTTTTCATTAATTCTTTTTTCTTTGTTTCCTCATCTAGCTTTTTCCCCTTTTATTTTTATTTATTTTTACACATAATTTTTTCTTTTATATTTTTCATTATTTTTCTCTTACTTTTACCTAATTATATAAACATTTTTTTCTACTATGCAACAGAATCTTTTACAGCTCTTTTCTCTTTTCCTTTTCATATCATATGCTTTAAGGTTTCAGTTTTAGTGTTCTGGATTCCCTCATCCCCAAGCTCAGAATGTTTATATATAAACTACATACAGGGCATGCAGTCTGGTTCTACTCGCTGGAATTACAGCTTCTCAGCATTACAGATTTGTAGAGTGCACCTCTATGAGGCTGCTCTTGTGAATGGCAGTTTGGCCTAGAAAGTGCTACACAGCTCTGCTTTAAAGAAAAGGCTAAAGAGTTCTCAATATTTTCCTAATTTTAACTATATGTTAGAAGCCTAATTGATTTCCTAGATTGCTTCTGGTGTTTGAACTGAAGTTTGCTCACTTCAGTTCAGATATTCATTGATCTATTGTAATCCACAGAAGTGAATAGAAGTAGATAACCTGAGGTGCAGTTTGTAACAGTGACTTAGTTACTTTTCTCTTTGCCGAGACAAAATACCTGACACTCAAATTTGAAGGACAAAATGTGTATATGATTTACAGTTCATAGAGGTTTCACTCCGGAGTTGGCTGGCTCCAAGGCAGAGTGGCACATAGCAGAGGGGCATTGCAGAGTTGAAAGAGGTAGCAAAAGCAACAAGAGACCTTATCAGCATCTTCCTACTGCTTTCATTTTATTCAGACTACTTAAAGCAGGTAACACTCACACTCTTAATTCTAGCAGCATTGGGCTTAGCATTGCAGCATGAATCAATCACACACTCTAGATTGATTCAGCCACCTCTGAAAAAGCCCCACCTAAGACTCTGTGAGGCTTTGGGGACATTTAAATACAAGCCATAACATTCCACCCCAGGCCTCTGAAAGATTCATGCATATTCCTTTATGCAAAAGAGCATTTAGTGCATCTCGAACAGTCACCAAAGCCTTAACAATTTCAGCATTGCTGAAAAGTCCAAGTCCAAAGTTGTCTATGAGATTTAAGGCAAATTTTTAGCTACAAGCCCCTGTATAAGTGAAAAGAAAGTTAAATACTTCCAGCACTCAATGGCTCAAGGTAGACCTTTCCATTCTAAAGGTTACGAATGGGGGTAGCAAAGAATGGAAGCAAAGCAAGACCAAAATTCAGAAGAGCACACATTAAATCCCACATTTCCATTTCCAGCATCCCTGGTAATCTGTGGCAAGTCATGGACTCAAAAGGGGATGGGTGATTCCACCCCTATGGCACTTCTGGAGGTTATAGCTCTCATGGCTTCTCTCTTGGGCTGACTCTGCTCCCTCCTTGCAGTTCTCCTCAGATGATCCACATTCCTGGCTTCTCCAGACTTCTGGGGTCTCCACTGCACCTTTGTCTTCACACTCACAACTTCACACCTGACCTCTTGGGGGCACAATGCCTGCCTGCTCTTCCAGGACTTCTTTTTGAAATCTGGGTGAAAATTTTCCTTACACCACAACTCTTGCATTTTTCATGCACCTAAAAGTAGCACCATATGTGTGATGCCATGGTCTACTGCTAGCTGGAGTAGTAGCCAGGCTTCATTCCCTGTTGGTTGTAGTGATCCTGTAAGACCTAAAGTCTCACTTCCACTTCACGGAGCGTGAACAGCCTAAAGGCCTCCACGATGCTGGGCCCTAACACCCAGAGAGGCTCCGGGAACATGACAGAGAACCGAGAAACCCAGGAAGGAACACACCAGCCTAGATGGTAAAAGACCTTTATTAGTCTGGCCAGATGGCACTCCCGGAGCCAGGTGGCTCAGAGAGGCAACTGCTCAGGGGCTGAGGTACTTTTTATAAGGTTTTACTAAACAAAGAGTGAGGGAATTCACAGAACAAGACTGCAAACACATTGCTTATCTTATGCAGGAAATGTTCTAGGGTCACCTTTTGTCAAACCATTTGCCCCTGGGCGGGCTGTTAGCCAAGGTAGCAATTAGCATATGAAGAAGCACAGTCTGGCCTATTAGCATGGAGTCACTTTAGCCTATTCAAGTCTTACAATCCAGTGCCTATGAACCAAAACCCAAGGAACAACTTCCCTACACTGCTGCCATTCTAGAATATGGTTCTCTGGGCCTGTTTTCTCAAAGCAAATTCTTTCACTTTTGTAATTTAGGGCTGCAAAGGGTGGAGTCCTGCTGCTTCTGGTGATGCCCTCAGGCTATCTTTTCTAGTCTCCTGTTCTTTCTCAGAAATCAGGATGTCCTCTCTGCTCTCTTTGTAGGCAACAAGTTTTCTGGACTTTCCTTTCTGGTAAAACTCAAAACATTTTAAATCATTCTGCTGGGCTCTTTGCTCTTGATTCTCAACATAAATCTGGCTAAAAGCCCCCAACAGTAACCATGCTATGGCCTCAATGTTACACTGCCTTGAAATTTCTTCTGCCAGATTAATTAGCCCACTTCCCTTAATCTCAGTCTCAGGCTGATATAGGGGGAAGAAATGTAACTCCCAAATCTGCTAGTTATCCAAAACACAAGTTCCTGTTCTTTAAAATTGATGAATGAATTCTAGGAGCAACAGAGGTTAAGAGAAGGAAAAATTTATTGAGGGAAAGAAAGCTTCTGTCTGAGAGAGACAGAAGGAGGACCAAAAAGTGGTTCTCCTGCCCACCCCACTTTTCAAATATGTTTTATACAGCCATGCCATGTGATGAAACATGTTCAAAGTGGAACAAAACTGTAGGATAAGACCCAATGGAAAATTACAAAGTGGGCAGGAGGTGGGGCAAAACCATGACCAATCAATAAGGTTATAAGTATGGTCACCCAGGTAATATTGATTAAATGGGGGTCAAATGGGGGAGCAAGTCACATAGCAATCATACAAGGACTTTCTTTTCTTTTTCATTGTTTATTTGTACATTTTAGGTAAACAATACAATTAAATTGATCGTTAGGATCTTGTACCTTTACCTGACTTATCTTGGTTCTTATTTTTCCCCATTCCCTAGCCCTCTCTTCACCCCCTCCCCCCTTCCCTAATTAAAAAGACATTGTTTCCATGTGTTTTTTTCCTTTTCACATATTTTTTCTCCTTTTTACCTTTCCCCTAACACTCCTACTTCCTCTACTACATTAGAACTTTTCTTCCTATTACACAATATCAATTTTACATTTTGATCCTTATTTACACTTTTAGATTTCCACACCAGAGAAACTATTTGGCACTTACACGTATGTGACTTAATAATTTTACTTAAGAGTATGGACTCAATGTGCATTCACTTACCTATAAATATCTCTAGTTTCTTACTCTTTATGGCTGAGTAGTACTCCATTTTATAAAATTTTCTTTATCAAGCCTTCAGTTGATGGGCAATTAGGCTATTTCCAAGTTTTAGCTATTACAAACTGTGCCTCTATAAACATAAGTGAGCATATATCACTATGGTATGATTCTTTGCTTTTTTGGAGAAGACATCCAGCAGAGGAATAGCTGGGTCTAATAGGACTTCTAATCCTAGTTCTCTGAGGTATCTGCATATTGATTTCCATTCTGCACTCCCACTAAAAATGAAGAAGGCTTCCTTTCTCCCCTCACCCCCAACAGCATTTGTTATTGGTTGATTTCTTGATAGCAGTCATTCTTTCTGGGGTGAGGTGAAATCTCAATGTTGTTTTCATCTGCATCTCTCGAATGACCAGTGATGTTGAACATTTTTTATATGTTTATTTGCTGCTTTTACTTCTTTGTCTGAGAAAGGTCAGTTCATTTCAGATGCCCATTTTTTAATTGGGTCTTTTATGAGGGGGGTCTGATTTTTAAAAAAATATGGAACATTCATGAATTTGCATGTCTTTCCTGCACAGAGGCCATGCTAATCCTCTGTATCATTCCAATTTGAGTATATGTGCTGCCGAAGCAAGCACGGATCTAAATTGTTTGAATTCTTTGTGTATTCTAGATAGTAGACCATTGCCTGAGGAACAGCTGGTTAAAATTTTTTCCCATATAGTGGGTTGTCTCTTAGCTCTGCTGGTTATTTCTCTGGCAGTGCAGAAGCTTTTTAAAAAGATGAGATCCCTAGCTGGGGATTTAGCTCAGTGGTTCTGCTGCCTGACTTGCAAGCGCAAGGACCCAAGTTCGATCCCTGGTACCAAAAAAAAAAAAAAAAAAAAAAAGATGAGATTATTTGGACTACTTCCCATGCTGCTGAGAATTTCTTCATAAAGTATTTTCCTATGCCATTATCTTGAAGAGTTCTACCTAACTTATCTTCCAGCAAGTTTTGTGTTTCTATTTTAATATTTATAACTTTAATCTACTTGGATTTTAGTTTAGTGCATGGTGAAAGATACGGGTTAGTTTAAATCTTTGACAAGTTGAAATCCAGTTTTTCCAATACCATTTTTTTTTTGGTACCATGGATTGAACTCAGGGCCTTGTGCTTGTGAAGTAAGCAGTGGAAACATTGAGCCAAATCCTGGCCCCCAACACCATTTATTAAAGAGGCTATCATTCTTGCAATAAGGATGGTTGGCTCCTTTGTCAATGATGAGCTTCCTGAATATGTCAGGAGTTCTTTCTGCATCATTTTCCACTGATCCTTCAGTCTGCTTCTTTGCCAGGGCTATGCTGTTTTTATCACAGTGGCTTTGTAGCATAGTTTCAAGTTGGGGATTGTGATACACCCTGCAATGGCTCTGTTGCCTAAAATGGCTTTTGCTATTCTAGTACTCTTCTGATTCCAAATGAATTTTTGGATTATTTTCTCTAGTTCTGTGAAATACACTGTTGGGCTTTCAATAGGGACTGCATTGAATCTGTGTAGCAATTTTCAAAGTATGGGCATTTTCACTATATTGCTTCTTCCTACCCAGGAACAAGGGATGTCTTTCCATTTTCTTATATCCCCTTTAATCTCTTTTTTCAGAGTGCTGCTGTTCTCAGTGTGGAGGTCTTTTGTTTCCTTTGTTAGATTGATTCTAGATATTTCTTTTTTTTTTCTTCTTTTTTTTGGGGGGGATGCTATTGTGAAAGAGGTTTTTTCTCTAATTTCACTCTTGGTGAGTCTGTTATTTGTCTATACAAAGGCTATTGATTTTTGAGTGTTTACCTACTTTTGAGTGTTTAGCTACTTTATTGAATCTGTCAATTAAGTCTATGTCTTTTGGCAGAGTTTTTGGGGTCTTCTATGTACAATATCATATCATCAGCAAATAATGACAGTTTAACGTCTTCCTTTTCTATATTTATTACTGTTATTTCTCTTGTCTAATTACTGTGGCTAATGTTTCCAAAACTATATTGAACAGGAGTGGTAACAGTGCACAACCTTGTCTTGTTACTGAGTTAGCATGAAGATTTTCAGTTTTTGACCATTTTGTATGATTTGGCTGTTCATTTTTCATAGATAGCCTTTACCAAGTTCAAATAAAGACAATCTATTCCAATTTTCTGCAGAGTGTTTATCATGAATGGGTGTTGAATTTTCTTGAATATTTTTTCTGCATCTATAGAGATCATCATATTGTTTTTGTCTCTTACTCTGTTCATATAGTGTATTATATTTATTGATTTACATATGTTGAACCATCCTTGCATCCCTGGGATAAATCCAACTTGGTCAGGATGTATGGTCAGGATGTCTTGATTACCCTCTATATTCTGTTTGCCAATATCTTATTGAGGATTTTTCATCTATTTTCATTAGGGAGATTGGCCTGTAGTTCTCTTTTTTGGTTGGGTCTTTCCCTGGTTTTGGGATCAAAGCAACACTTGCTTTTAGTAATGAATTTGGAAGTATTGCTTCCCTTTCAATTTCATTAAAAAGTTTAAAAAGTAGCGGCAGTAGTTCTTCTCTAAATATCTTGTAGAGTTCAGCAGTGAAGTCATCAGGACCTGGGCTTTTCTTTGTTGGTAGCATTTTAATTATATTTTCAATTTAACTGATTGTATTTGGGGTGTTTATAATTTTTATATCCTCTTCATTCAACTTTCATAATTCATATATATCTACAAATCTGTCCATTTGTTCTGTGTCCTCCATTTTATTAGAGATCCTCTGGATTTCTGCTGGATCTATTGTGAATTCACCTTTATCATTCCTAATTGCATGGATTTGAGCCTTTTCTTTCCTATTTTCATAAGGTTGGCTAAGGGTTATTAATTTTATTTATTCTTTTGAAAAACCAACTCTCTGGTTCATTAATTTTTTGTAACATTCTCTTAGTCTCCATTGCATTGGTTTCTGCTCTGATCTTTATAAATTCCTCCCTTGTATGAGCTTTGGGGTTTCTTGCTCTTCTTTTTCTGGGAGCTAAAGATTCACCATTAGGTTTTGGGGTGTTTTTTTTTGTTTTGTTTTGTTTTTTATTTTTCCTAGTGTGGGCATTCACTGCTATGAATTTCTCACATAAAATTGCTTTCATTGTATCCCTTAGATTCCTGTATGTTGTATTGGCATCATCATTAAATTGTAAAAACTGTCTAATTTCTTCTTTAATTTTTGCTTTGACCCATTGGTTGTTCAGGGGAGTGTTGTTCAATTTCCACATGATTTTGAAGTTCTTATGGCTTCTTATGCTTTTGATCTCCAGTTTAATTGCATTGTGGTCTGATAATACACAGGGGGTAACTTCAGTTCCTTTGCATTTACTTAAACTTGTTCTGTGAGCTAATATGTGGTCTATTTTGGAGAATGACCAATATGCAGCTGAAAATAATATATATTCTGATTTGGTGGGGTGCAACAATCTGTAGAGGTCTACTAAGTCCATTTGTTCAAAAAGTTGGCTCAGTTCTAGTATTTCATTGTTGTTGTTTTTTTGTCTAGATGATCTTAATATATGTTTTGTATAGTTGGGGCATTAGTATTTGGTGTACATATATTTATGATTGTCATCTCTTCCTCTTGGATTGTTCCCTTTACATGGATGTAGTGACCTTCTTTGTCTCTCTTAATTAGTTTATTTCTCTCATTGAGTTTATTGGTTCATTTTAGGTATACAGTACAGTTACATTCATCATTGGGATCTTGTACCTTTATATGACAGGTTCTCTTCATTAGTTTTAGTTTGAAATTTACTTTGTCTGCAAATAAGATAGCTACCCTGCTTTTTTCTGGGTTCCTTTCACATGGAGAACTGTTTTCCATTCTTTTACTTTCAGCTTATGAGTTTCTCAAGTAGGTGTGTCTGGTATATACAGCATATTGTTGGACTTTAATACATTCTGCCAATCTATTTCTTTTGATTGGTGAATTGAGGCCATTTACATTGATGGTTATATATATTGACTTATCATCATGTTATTTTCCTGTTGTTGGCTCTTATTTATTTTTCTCCCTCTCCCTTTAATTTTTTGCCTTGCCTGGTGTATTTGCTCTGTTGTGCCTCATGTAGTTGTGACCTTCATTGTCTTTTTTCTAGGATATTTTTAATAATTGTTTCAAGTACTGGTTTGGTATTTATGAAGTTTCTCAGGTGTTCTTTGTCATGAAAGTATCTTATTTCTCCATCAATTTTGAAAGATAGTTTTGCAGGATACATCAGCCTAGGTTGGAACTTGTTTTCTTTTAATGCTTGAAATGCCTCCCTCCAAGGGCCAGGAATTTAGCTCAGTGGTTCTGCTGCCTGACTTGCAAGCGCAAGGTGCTAAGCTTAATCCCTGATAAAATTTTTTTTAAAAAAAAAAAAAAAGAATAAAAGAAATACCTCACTCCAGGCTCTCTTTCACTTGAGAGTTTGTCTTGAAAACTCTGTTGTGACTCTAATGGTCTTCCCTTTGCATGTAATTTGTTCCTTTTCTCTAACTGCTTGTAGTATTTTGTACTTCTGTTGAGTTTCCAGGATCTTGACTATTATAGGTGTCTATAGGTGTCTAGGTGTTGATTTTTTGTATCATAACTACTTGAAGTCTTATATGCCTCATTTAACTGTATGTCAAGTTCTTTTGCTGTTTGTAAAGTTTTCTATCATTAATTCTGTGAACAGTTTTTTTAAATGTCATTTATGCTTTCTCCTGCTTTTTCATGGACTCTATCAATTTTATATTGTTCTTCTTTGCATCATCTAGGAGCAGTTGGATTGATTTCTCATGGTCCCTTACTATTTTTAAGAGATGTCTCTTTTCATGGTCACTGGCTGCCATCCTGTCTTCCATATCTGATATTCTGTCTTCAGATTGAGCCAGTCTGCTATGTATACTTTCAATAGAGTTTTTAATCTCCTGGATATCAGTTTGAATCTGTTTCATGGATCTCATTTCTTTCTTATGTTGGGCATTTGTGGTTTGCATTTCTTTCCTATGCTGAGCATTTGTGGCTTCCATCATGGTCTTGAACTCATCTATTTTTTTTATCTGTTTCTGTACTAGAGACTCTAATCATGTCTTTTATTCTGCTCATCATCTCTAGTTATCTGGGCAATTATTTGTTTTGAGTATTTCTACAGCCTCATTTATGTTTTTTTACTTCCTGTTCCATCAGTTCAGGTTCTGGATGGTTGATTATCAGACTTTTCCATCTCATTTCCCCCAGAATTTGCCTTTGGTAAGCTGGAAGACTGTTTCTTGCTTAAATGTCTTGTCATTTCTATTATTGTTGTTGGTATAGTCCTTGGTTTGTTTGCAATTTTTGTTTTTTGTTTTTTTATTTTTTTGTACCAGGGTTCGAACTTGAGTCCTTGCACTTGCAAGGCAGGCAGTGGCACCACTGAGCTAAATCCCCAGCCCATGTCCTTGGTTTAATTCCTGGATTGATACTTCAATACTATTTATCATATCTTTGTTGTTTATATTTAGAACCCTAAGGAATGATTGCTTCTCAGAGATGTCTTCCAGATATAGTTGGTCTCTAGGTTTTGAGTCTCTATTGACTCTAGAGCAATCTCATTTTCATTATACCAAGAAAGATAGCAGATTAGATCAA